CTGCATCGGTAAAACATTGAAGCGCAATTTAGTTTGGTTATTAACAAATGAGTAGGCTACAAAAGTATTAGAATTTAAGATTGACTAGGCCTAATATCCTTACATACAGTTGTTTGTTGCTAGTGATCCTCTCTCTCGCTCTCGCTCTCTCTCTCTCTGTCTTTCAGGTCTACTTTTTTGGTCATTAAACGCAGGCCTATTGATGGACCAACTGCGTAATTACGCACAATTGCATTTTTAACAGAAATAAAGTTATAATCTCAGGTTTAAAAAGAAAGAGTGAAACTGGATTCATATTGATTGAATAGTCTCAAGCAGGCTTTACGAATAGCGCAAGTAACGTTTAGTGTCCCTTTTTGTGAGCAGATAAATATGAAACGAAGAACGTTTTGACAATCGGGCCTGATATAAAGGAGTCCTATTGTTTAACTTGTGGATCATATCCTTCTTCTCTCAGTCAGTTTCCAATAAAACATTTTTTAGCAGTTAGTTCTTTTTCGATTCCATAGGGGAGCCATATGTTTAGGCCTAGCTCAAAAGTTTCGATTTCTAATCCACTCATACGCTCGGAAACTCTGTTGTTTTACGCACGGGCAAAGATTGTGCAGCCTACGAAGAAGCACAGACACTTTATTCGTATTCAAATCGGTTGAAGTGGTTGCAAAGTAAATGGCAGATGTTTAGCAATTCAAGGCGCATCAATACCCATGAGCCATAGTGTTTAACAATGACGTCTCTCTTTTGTTAGGCGCTTGTGTCTTTCAGTCGAGCGCTTGACAAAGGGTTCATCCTCTGCGAGTTATAAAGTTACTTTCCACTAGTTCATTTCGGCCCTAGAGAAAACCCTAAGCGATGTTAATGTGCACCTCTGTTCTATTCAGACGGTAACCCCGGTGCAAATAGCCAAACACAACCTATTGTGCGGCTTAACCAAAGTAAAGACCTTTAAATAACCTGGAGACCAGTCTATAGAAATTCATGATATTTGATGTTTGATCAGAGCTTCGCCAACAGGCCCGTCGCGTGGCTTTTATTTATCCCCCTTCCGTAATTTCGAAGGATGTAGATTATTCGATATAAACAGTGCACCTGCGTGAGCACCTGAGTGATTTCGTTTCGAACTCCTCAAGTGTAGGCCCACAATAAAGGTTTGGTGTCCTCCAGTATGTGTCAGAACCCTGAATAGTTAAGAGGCGGTTCCTCGATTTGCTTCGCTCTCAGTGACCCGTTGCAGTTTCTATGTGTGAAAGTTGCCTTCACATTTTAAAATAAGTCTATCGTTTTCTTTCTTGCTCAAACGCGTTCTGTTTGGCAACTTCATTTTGGTAACTTTCAGTTCCAAATATTACGCCTATATTTGGCCAATTTATTATAGGCTACAAAGGTTATATAGCTTGCTTCATATATGGCAGCCCTAAATGTTCTATATAGAATCCATATGCTCATTTTTCTTGAAAAGGGAGTTCATTAGGGTTCTATATTGAACTTTTAGGGGTGCCAATATGAAGCAAGCAAAATAACCCATTTTGGTTTTACATAAATTATAACTATTTTTTTTAAGAGTGTAGGTTATTAGATGCATTGTGAAGCATTTTAATAGCAAACATGTATATGATCCAATGGCTGAGCCTAATACGTTGCTGGAATATGCATGTGGCAATTCACACTATACATGTCTACTTTGCCCAAAGTCATCTTCATTCGATTTACCTGAACTTTGCTGTGTAATGTATAGCCAGCCATTCTCTTGCTAATGTGGGGCGAGTTTTCCTCTGGAGAAAAACAGTTTATTGCAGGTAATTGTATAATTGCTTCACTAATTGTTGTTAACAAGTCCTCGAATACTCCAATTATTACAGCACTCTTTGTCAGGTCCCCCTGGCAGGCATACATGACAATAGACTGTTGTGGTTAATGAGTTACCCGAGGGAGAAAAGTGAAAGTGGAGGGAAAAAGTCTGAGGTCCTTTTATAAACATGCACTTAACTTGTTATTTAATGGTAAATCATTATCATGACCGTTTTGGACACAAGTCGCTCGTTGAGCTATTATCATGGAGAGGTAGCCAATTATTTTGAGAGCTGCAAGAAAGGGGGTGAGGGTATAACCAAGTTAAATACATTTTTAAAGCCCATGCAGGAAAAAAAAATCTCGAATTGTGAATTGTAACTCATTCAGTTCGTTTAACATTATATCAATTCTATAACTATTTGTATTCATTATTCTGAATAGCCTCCATATTCTTAACTCGCGAATAGCCAGTGATAACTGATATAACACACCGCGTAATTAACGTGAAATCATTCCGTGTGTCCTTGCAACAACAACAAAAAAAGAAAAAAGTTTGCCATGTTGCCAACTTGCCATGCTGAAATCAGGTTTTATACGGTGCATGTTAACTCAGAGCGTGAAAACGACGACATAATGCAGAGACCAGAACAAAAGAGGAGAACCAGCCTTCATACACCAAAGCAGAGCGGTCAGATTTCATACTGATTAAACGTTGCATTATCACTTGAAAACATGGCATCGAAATTGCCGCACCAATTTTTCTGTACATTTTACGCAATTTGAACAGCATATATGGCCTTTAAGGTATATTTTGTAGACATAGGCATAGCTTTATAAATATAGGCTATATTCATATTTTGATCAAGATATGTAATGACCTTGATTCAAAACAGTGAATATCGAGGATTAATAATTTGAGTTCAATTATTAATACAACATAGACCTATAGGTTATTGTTTACCATCCGTTATTGTAGGCCTATTGCATGTCCGATTGGGGTAATTAAACTTACAAATTAGTCTGCGAGGCTCATTAATATTATGCAGGCTATTATACAGGCCAACTGCGGGCTACATTGCATTTATTTTAAATACTAAAATTAAGATTACATTTAAAATGTTTTTTTCGTGTGCAGTCATGTGAGTAAGTTTATGAAATTTCTACCACCCGTGGAAAGTATATAGCTATGCGTAGGCCTTATTAGACTATTAGGCTACTGTTCTAATAAAACATACTTTTCCTGAAAAACTGTCCAGGAAATATTCCCTGACACAGGCCTAGCAAGGCCTATCTTTAAGCCACTGCCTTTCTCAACTCTCTTTAACAACTCCCTTTCAAAGACTTACGGGACAATGAGGTTTTGTGTTTGAAAGTGAGAGAAATCTTTGATACGGCCCACTTTTTGTGGACACAAAACGGACAGAAGAAAAGATCCATGGCCTCTCAGTAGGCATATATACTGCCTTCTTTTCAGGGGCGCCTTGTCCCTGAACTGAATACACTGAGATGTTAATGCCAAAACCCTCTCCCTTTCCCCGCCATTTGTTCCCTCGCGCTTATTGTCATCTGAACACATGCATTGTGTCTGGAATCAAACTTGAGAGGACTTAAGCAACTTTGAAAGTAGTCTATAGAATCTCCATTGAGCATGTCGCGTGTCCAACGAATGGCATGGTCCCATTTCACATGAGATTTTTCACTTCGGCTGTTATCAATAATTTACACCACAATTATAGGCTACGTAATATATAGCCTACTTGCACAATACTGCCATTGCCACTTTATTTAAGATTATAATCATTTAAAACCTTTAGATTTTTAGAATAAAAAAACGCTGAAGATAGAAATTGTCTCATGTTGTGGTTATAACGTCTATTTCTTCAGAGTTGGCTGTACTTCAAGGAAAAGTCCCCGATTGTCTGATGCGCAAAGCAGTGCAGTTGGGCTAGTTCACGCGGTTCAGCTGGCATGACTTTCCCAAGGGTTGTGCCTTTTGAGGGTGCAGTGTGAAGAATCTGGAGGCAAGGGCCTCAAGACAGGGGGCGGCCCACCGATTCTCCTCGGTGCCTGCGAAGACAAAAGTGTCAATGCATTATTTCTGAAGAAAACAAAAACATGGGGAACACAAATTCACAATTGTATATTTTCTTCTTTATAATGTAATGGTGGATATCGTTGAGATAGGCCTAGATATGCTTTATGGTCGCAAGACGATTTAGTGTGTGGCCATAGGTTTTTGCAACAGGTGTCTCGGATTCTTGTATCACCAGAAAATCGAAATCTTGTGGAGACATGGAGAGAATTTCCACGGTGCTGCCTTTGACCTCATTGGCGTGAAACTCCGATATAAAAGAATCAATAGCAAGACCTGGTACGAGTCCCCAAACCGAGCAAAACACAATTAACATCAACACATTATGGGGTGATTTTCTACGCTTTTCTGTAAAATCTCACCTCACACGTTGAATGATTTCTCTAATATTGAAGCCTACTGATATGTCTATAGGCGTGTCGGTACAGGTTTACATCTAGCCTGCGGAAATTGCATCAAATTTCAATGAACATGTAGTCCTTTTTTATAATTTAGTTGACAGAACATTGACTTTAGCTCACCACACACTAATTGAAGGCTATGAAAATAGCTAAGATAATAAGACTGAATTGAGTGGGCTATAAGCCTACTTGCCCTAAAATTTGACAGTCCTATGCATGTTTAAAAAACCAGTCATATATTTTCCAGATATGAAAGGCTATAACATACCTTTTTTCATTAATTTATTAAACGTGTTGATATAGTTAAAGCCTATAGATAATATAGGCTAGTTGTTTTTTGGAGACAATGTAATTTCCGCAATGACTGTGCTTCTTTCCATAAATAGCCTAACGTTATAATAATATCTTAAGATTTAGACAGCAATATTCGGGGATATTTACGCTATGTTTGAGGTCCAAGATATGCCGCCTTTGGAGATGATGCGCGTTCAATAGATTATTCGGTGAGAGCTCTTGGCTGATTGGTTGTTGGGGGCTGTCAAAGCAGTACTGTTCATCTCGGCGCGCGCGACCCACAGGTCATTTGTTGCATTGAGATGTTAAGTGGGGGACGCTATAAATCGGCTCCCGAGGCAGAATTCCTTCACTCGTGCGCCAGGGAGAGTTCATGCAGTAGGTCAAAAACATCTGTAAGCAAACCAGAAACTACCTTCAGAATGGTGTCGACATCCGACTGTGTAATCAAGACCAAAATCATAAATGGGAAAAAGGTGTGTAGTTTATGTTACCTACATGCATGCTTTATTGGCAAGTAATAATAACTTTCAAACAAATGAATGTCAACAACAAAGATTTTAAAGTGACTGATGGATTGTTTGTTAATGCTTTATTTCTCTTTTTTTGTAAGGTATCCAAACCATTGATGGAGAAGAAAAGACGAGCGCGCATAAATAAATGTTTGGACCAGTTAAAATCTCTGCTGGAGAATTATTACACCAGCAATGTAAGTAATACTTCGAATCTATTAGGCAAATTGTTACAAACCAATCGTGCTTTTGTGCTTAGTGGCTCAATGTATGCTCCTTTTCAGATTCGAAAACGCAAACTCGAGAAAGCGGACATCCTGGAACTAACTGTAAAACATCTGAGAAATCTTCAGAAGATCCAGAGTGGTGCGTTATCCATCTTCACTATTTGTTATCTCATTCTAGGCCTTGCCTATGGTAGGCTGGCCTATCACTATTAGCTTCTACCAGCAATTATTCGGTCTACTGTCAAGTGAAATTCTCGATAGGCTGGGTTTTACGCATGGTGCCATATTTACTTAAAATGTTCCTCTCATTTTCTACAGGATTTTCCATTAACTCCGAGTTTGCTGAATACCAAGCTGGCTTCAGGAGCTGCCTAGCAGGCGTGAACCAGTACTTGGCAGACAACTCGAGTGGGAGCAGCAGTCGTTTGACCATGCTGACGCACCTTTCAAGCAGCCTGCACTGCACCGGAGGACAGGCTCAGAACTCCAGCACCGCGGACAGCGACACGGGAACAAAACATGTGCTGCCCGAAACTGCTGTGTGCTGCCGGATGCAAAGACGTCTTCCTTCGACAGTTGGGCACGAAGCGAGCAAGGCACCAACCAGTGTCCCCCTCGCCCGGTGCATCAGGGCGCTCAAACCCCACAGCTCCAAACCGACTAAACTCTCCGCAGGGACCAGTCAAGTCATCGTATCCACAAATAAGATTAAACTAAATAACAGTCTCAGCCCATGCTACAGAAACAAGTGTCTCTCAAATGGTCAATACAGCCATGCAGTTACCATACACAATGTTTGGCGTCCTTGGTAGCATGTTGAATAGAGATTTATTTGAACTGTTAAATACTTTATTGTGTAGTATATGCACGGTGTAGATTTGTATTTTCTAAATACTGTTTTAACTTTTGTACAGATTTTTTTTATTTTATCAATAAAATCAAAGAACTGAAAGAACTGAATAAGCCTTTCGTCGTCTTATTTGTTAGTGGACTGGGAAAGTAAATGGGTGGGAAATTCACACACATTTATTTTTGAAAGTAATAAGTAATTCAGTAACCAATTTGTACAATACAGAATAAAATGCAATAGTAACAATGCATCTGTTCACCTAAACTCATCTTGCAAGCCAAATAAGCCATCTTCTAACCTCTCCATGGTTACTCACATTGAGTGATTTATTCATCTTTCTCACTGATATGGTTAAAAGAGTGGTTTATACAGATGTAGGATCCTAATTTGATCACCCTGTTGCACGAGAACGTTGCTACAATGCAGTACATTTTAAACTTTGTTTAAACCTTTATTTAACTAGGCAAGTCAGTTAAGAACAAATTCTTATTTACAATTACAACCTATCCCAGCCAAACCATCAAGGCCAGATTGTGATGCAGTGCCTTAGACTGCTGCGCCACTTGGGAGCCCAAAACCTGTTGTGTATTTGAGGTTTAAAAAGGCTTCTGAAGTTAATCATTTCCATTTTGAAATTACATACTTGATTTTCCCTTACGAAAAAACTATCAACCCCTACAAAAACGTCCATTAATTATAATCCACTTAATAATTCACATTTGCTGCAGGATTTTTTTCCTGCTGTAGCAAACAAAACTGGCTCAAATTAAGATCCTACATCTGTAATGAAAATAGTTTCGAATTTGCAGTAGGCCTAGTTAGTTAGTAAGCTCGAATATCTGAAGTTAGCCACTTGGCTCGTGGGGGAATGTTATAGGTCGCACATTCTCTGTATTCATTATGCCTATTATTAAACAGAGGTGTGCCAACCTGTACCAAAATCCAAAAGCATATCAATAAATTCGCGTATGAAGTTGCACAGGGAGCTGTGCCACCAGGTGCTTGACCGCATCCTCTCATCCTCTCCTCTCTACATATGGGGAATACAGGTTCAGAACATGCATTCAAATGGTGGGGCACCTCACCAGCCTCTTCGTTCGAAAAAGCTACCTCGGGACTGGCCAAGGGATTACGTTTCTTTAATATCTATAACTTGACCCTTTTATATTATATTCTTGTTTTTTCTTCTTCTTTATTTCGACTGCAGGTAAATATACATGCATGGCTGTCACCTGTTGCTGAAACGATTGGCATCGGGTGACTGGTAACCTTGGCATTTGGTTCCCAGGGGTACCCCATGTTCCCAGTAGTGCAACATGCATCATAAAGCTCAAGTTGCTATGTATTAACATTGTCAATGAAGCTATAGCCTATATCAGTCCCTTTCCTACATTGGCAATGTTAAGACATTGGCCTAAGTAACCAGTGAGGAAACAAGTCTGGGGGGGTTGTCAACCGCCTAGGGCGCATGCCATGACGCGCCATTCATCCCATTGTTATCCAGTTTTACGCATAACTACCGAAACAGCAGCGCGCAAATTAGGTTCTTGTTGAACAGCACAGCAATTTTCTGCTACTAATTATTTACATGCACGCTATCTGCTTTCTCGTCTCAGAGGCCCCATGTTATCTTAAACGCTTGTGAATCCACATTCACTATGGAAGTTTGGGATTAATTGTGGACCATACGTTGGTTTTGGAAGCTCATATAAGAATAGTCGTTTAATTTCACTTTCATTTAGTCCGTTTGGGTAGGCCTATATATCCTAAAGATAACAGGCTACTCACAAAGATGCATCTATATAGCCTGCACAAACTGACCCCAAAAATAAACGTTTGTTTCTTTGGATGGAAAACAACGTTTCCGCTGCTATAGTGGGTTGGAGGTCTAGCATCAGTATCATAAATGGCTCTCTTTTCATGTCGACTAAGGTTGGAGAGGATGGCACCTTGCAGCGAGGAGAATCGCTGAAACGCCCATCGCTCTTTCAGATGGTATTGACGGCCTGCTGGGGACGGTGACAAGGCATTGGTTCCCGAAGAAAAGGGAGGCTCTCAAGCAATGTGAGAAAAAAAATAAGACAAAAAAGACTATGCCTGGTTCAAGTTGCTTGTGTGCTAAATCTGACCCACACGCCATTTGTAGACTGCATGTGTCACATTAATAGCCTATATCTCTATATCTGTTGTTAGCAGGCCTACACCATGCATTCACGTTTTGGTCGTCATAATGATTGCCTACATTTTGCACTAAATGTTCGTTTATATATAAGCTTACAGTTGGGTTTTAGACGATTGTGATCAGGGTAGCCTATTTAGAGCAAGCTGTTTTCAATATAGGCAGACCCACTGCAACCATATGGGCCCAACAGTCCCGCTGTTGCGCTTTTAGTGAAGCGAATACATGGAGCTTTATAGGCTAAAGAACCTGCCAAAGCCCTTGAGTTTGTTTTACTGAAGAAAAGCCACGTGATGTGCACCCTGAATGCACTGAAACTTGTAAGAATTTCTATGAACTCGTCTCAGCGTTGTTTAAATAAGCTAGTTTGGTTTGCACCATAATAGTGGTGCATCAGAGCTGAAACACAGAGAAAGGAAAATAAAACGTATTTGCATTAGACTGTGCCCAGTCAAGCGCCCATAAGAGGCAGACGTGTAGGCCTGGCCTACATACAGCGATGCAAAGAGCCAGGCCCCGTGTCCACCGAGCCTTTCAACACCCTGTGGTGGACTAGAGAGATGTTTTTTTCAGGTGGAACATTTAATCTAAGACCAAGGTGAGGCATATTTTTAAATTCGTCATTCTCTTGGCCAAGATTTTTCATAGGCCTACACTAAAACGAAGAGTGCAAAATAGTCTCAAATCATCTAATTTGAGAACAACTAGATCAAATCCTATCTATTTTAAAGCAATAATCCACTTAAATTCATAGACAGAGCCACGGATGCAAGGACTGACCATCCATGATTTAAAATGTACAATTTTAACCATGTTTTGAGGCTATACAGTGTATGTTTACATTTAAGTTGTTTACAAACATTGGAGTAAAATAAGCTTATTATTGGGTTGTGATGGGGTACGACAGTTGAACTAAGGTCATGAGGCATTTATAGGTTACATTCTTCAAGAATCAGTGGGTAGGCCTATATATCATTAATTTATAAAAGGATTCTAGCTTCAAGTGATAGGACTAAAATGGGTTAAATACTCGACTACCCCATTACCCCAACGAAAATGTCTCATAATTAGATGTATGTAAAATGTTGCAATGGGGTGTATTAACCATGAGACCAGGTCGCAGCACAACTAGACCTCCACAATACCGTGGAATTTCCCTTAGAGTTGGATAAAGACCAGTGTCGAGGCTCACTGGCTGCGGGTAACTGGTGAACAAAGTGCGGGCGTTCTCCACGGAAACAATGGTGAGAGGCTAGACGTCACTGAATCTGCAGAGTCAAGCGTTTTAAAACACCTGCTAAAAAAAAAAAATGATTGTGCAAATTTGGGCTACTTGAGTTTCTAAGGGGGTAGGCTTATGATATGTAGCCTGTGGGCTGCAGGTGAATTATTGACCAGACATGACTGCATGCTAAAATGGCAGTGTTCAGGGGCAGCTTCAGGATGCTCTTCATCCTCATATAGTTGGATTGTTGGAGTGCTAGAATTGTCTTTTGAATAGACTACATCAGTGATACTCAAATGGCGCCTGCAGGCCATATCTGGACTGCGAGCCCATTAAATGGGGCTGTTCATTTGTAAAATAAAAAAATAAAAATAAAAAATATTGCCATCTCGTGTGAATATTAGTCAAATATTCTGAGCATTGTGAGTGCAGAAGAAATATGTCAAAAACAATGTAAGTCGAAACATCTGCTTTATTTTTTCTGGTCCTTACAGAATAATATCTCGAATTATCTCAAAGGAGTGTGAACATCAATTCAATAAAACCGAGTTGTGAATAAAATTCTAAAATGGTTGATGTGCACCTCCGAACCGCAATAGCCTACATCACCGGGAAAATATATTTTTTTAAACATTTAAAATACAAACGCAAAACACACTTTCAACGATTTCAAACTATTCAAGTGTTTTTTCCACTGCAACTTTGACTCGAAATAGATCTTTATCCTTTGAACAAAACCATAATCGCAGCAACAAAAACACCAAACATTGTTCATAGGATTGACAGTCATAAAAGCTTTAACAGAGAAGGATATGTTACAAAATTAGATTTTGATAAATAAGTAGGCTACTGTAAACACAGAGAAAAACATAATGCAGGAAAAGTCAATGACGTGGCAAATTTCGAAAAGGGAATATAAAAACGGTAATACTTTCAAAGAAAGGTGTTCACATTATGATATTCATTTGAATATTAGACAAGGGGTGAGAGGTGCACAATTAACATAGGCTAACCTAAATTAATAACCTGGACTTTGGAGCATTACTTATGCTATAGAAACAAATGATCTTAAAGTGTATGCAAAACATTTGTTAGCAAATTATTATGATAGTAGCACACACTATCTATGAGGCGCACACACATTATACCTTATAAGTGCATTTATCTAGCCTGGGCACCAGTTTCTGAGGTCAATGGAACTCGACCAAAACAATGGAAATGTCATGGAAACGCGTGGGGGAAAGATCCCTAATCTCCTCATTGTCCCCCAGTAAAATTTGCCTACATTTAAGATATTTTTATGTGTGTATTTCACTCTAAATTTGGGTAAAAATCGGAGTATAATGCTTGTATGGATGTCAACCTCTTTTACATGTCCATCATGTCATCATCATCAATCAACTGCATTACAGTTAAAAACTACTTTGACTAATGCCACCGATTTCTGTATGCTAGTTATGCTACCAGTTTATAGGAACGCCAGTTAGCATTTAGCAGTAACTTCTAAATCTGAAAAGGGACAAACAGCGAAAAACAGCCAAATAAACTCAGCAAAAAAATTAATGTCCTCTCACTGTCAACTGAGTTTATTTTCAGCAAACTGAACATGTGTAAATATTTGTATGAACATAACAAGATTCAACAACTGAGACATAAACTGAACAAGTTCCACATACATGTGACTAACAGAAATGGAATAATGTGTCCCTGAACAAAGGGGGGGTCAAGCTGCATTAAGTACTGCAGTGCATCTCCTCCTCATGGACTGCACCAGATTTGCCAGTTCTTGCTGTGAGATGTTACCCCACTCTTCCACCAAGGCACCTGCAAGTTACCTGACATTTCTGGGGGGAATGGCCCTAGCCTTCACCCTCCGATCCAACAGGGCCCAGACGTGCTCAATGGGATTGAGATCCGGGCTCTTCGCTGACCATGGCAGAACACTGACATTCCTGTCTTGCAGGAAATCACGCACAGAACGAGCAGTATGGCTGGTGGCATTGTCATGCTGGAGGGTCATGTCAGGATGAGCCTGCAGGAAGGGTACCACATGAGGGAGGAGGATGTCTTCCCTGTAACGCACAGGGTTGAGATTGCCTGCAATGACAACAAGCTCAGTCCGATGATGCTGTGACACACCGCCCCAGACCATGACGGACCCTCCACCTCCAAAACGATCCCGCTCCAGAGTACAGGCCTCGGTGTTACCCTCATTCCTTCGACAATAAACGCGAATCCGACCATCACCCCTGGTGAGACAAAACCGCGACTCCTCAGTGAAGAGCACTTTTTGCCAGTCCTGTCTGGTCCAGCGACGGTGGGTTTGTACCCATAGGCGACGTTGTTGCCGGTGATGTCTGGTGGGAACCTGCCTTACAACAGGCCTACAAGCCCTCAGTCCAGCCTCTCTCAGCCTATTGCGGACAGTCTGAGCACTGATGGAGGGATTGTGCGTTCCTGGTGTAATTTGGCCAGTTGTTGTTGCCATCCTGTACCTGTCCCGCAGGTGTGATGTTCAGATGTACCAATCCTGTGCAGGTGTTGTTACACGTGGTCTGCCACTTCGAGGACGATCAGCTGTCCGTCCTGTCTCCCTGTAGCACTGTCTTAGGCGTCTCACAGTACTTTATTGCCCTGGCCACATCTGCAGTCCTCATGCCTCCTTGCAGCATGCCTAAGGCACGTTCACACAGATGAGCAGGGACCCTGGGCATCTTTCTTTGGGTGTTTTTCAGAGTCAGTAGAAATGTCTCTTTAGTGTCCTAAGTTTTCATAACTGTGACCTTAATTGCCTACCGTCTGTAAGCTGTTCGTGTCTTAACGACCGTTCCACAGGTGCATGTTCATGAATTGTTTATGGTTCATTGAACAAACATGGGAAACCGTGTTTAAACCCTTTCCAATGAAGATCTGTGAAGTTATTTGGATTTTTACAAATTATCTTTAAAAGACAGGGTCCTGAAAAAGGGAAGTTTCTTTTTTTGCTGAGTTTATATACAAATGGGACTTTAGTAACCACATTGTGGGCCTTCAACAATACATCAATCATGACGTATTTGATGAATATCCTTATTGCTTATTACTGATGAATGTGTTTGTTTTTCTTTCTGCTTGCATTTTGTATTTATATTTTGATGTGTGTATTTTCTGTAATTTATGTAATTCAGGGCTCATCTGTAAAAGAGACCTTGGTCTCATTATGACTCCCCTGATAAAATAAAGGGAAAAAAATAAAAAAGATATATCCACTTTGTTGAATGTGCGCCAATCCAGCGTGTTTCTATATCCCATGGTCTGCATTCCATTGACCTCTTATCCGCATTTATGTCATATGCCAAATGTTCGGCTTATATGTCAAATGTTTGGCATATGACACGTAGTACAAGGAGTGGAATGTTAGCAGAAAGAGACTGGTACCAGGTTAGCATTTAACTCCACACACTTATAGTGCATTATAATGCATGTTATAAGCTGTCATAACTCCAAGTAGTTATAACATCCTTATAATACATCACTATGATGCATTATAAGACCAATGTGTGTGTGCCTCATAGAAAGTCTAGAATTCTTTCCCAACATAATAAGGCTATAAAATGGTTAATTGGGGCACACTGCAAGTTGAAAGTATTATCACTCCATTTAATTAATTTATCTGCAAACATACACAAATCCTGTCTCAATACATTCATGTCAAACTTAAGATGTTAGAACTGCCAAATTAACATATTTGGGGAATATTACATTTTAAAGTTTAAAACGTTTGTAAAAACAAGTTATCAATATAATTCAAAGCTTTCCAGCATGAGGAAGACCTAGTTGCCATGGTCCATCATCCCTCAATAGCCTTATACATCTGATGGGCCCTGTTTTTGAGATATTTAACAAGTGTTTCCCAAAACGCCATCTAGAGATAGGTGAATTTCTTAAACGTTTCGTAAAAATTTTAAGCCAAGAATGTCAAAGCAAAAGGGAATATAAATGTGTAACCACACCACCAGTGAACCACATCATCTATAAACATTGGAGTGCTTTGGTGGTGGTGGAATTTAATGAACACTATTCACCTTCCCTCAGCCATGCTTGGCTTTACTTCTTACTTCACCTATTTGTAAGTCGCTCTGGATAAGAGCGTCTGCTAACTGATGTAAATTTAAATGTAAATGTACTTGCCACCCTCTGGCATGGCAAACATTCTCTGAAAAAGCACCTCGTTCTAGTCGAGGTCACCCAGAGAACCTGTACTTCTATTCATGGTCCTTCGATCCGGATTCACTGATTGGCCACAGTTAAAGCAATATAAATAGAATCCCTAGAACAGGACAGACCCTCAGACCGTTGGACTGTACCCTTATGGGTACAATTCTATTTCTATAGTTCAAGTATGTGCCAGTAGCAGATTAGAGCTCCATCCTGGACTGAATGTGGCACTCATCCTTTTTAACAGACACTATGTTAGACTATTTAGATGCAGCTCAAGCAAAAGGAGGCTTAATCCTAACTTGAGACCTGCATGCATAACTTAACCTCCCACAAATATCACATTGACATCAATGACTGAGTTATGTGAATGTCTGAGTTACATATTTCAAATTGGGAGATGGCAGATGTTTTGGACATGAGCCATTGGGTGCATCTCAATAGGCAGATGTTTTGGACATGAGCCATTGGGTGCATCTCAATAGTGTAGTGACTCCCTCTCCTCGTCTCCTTTCCTCATCCTCACTGATCTGAAAGAACGGGAAAGGTGTAAGCTGATTGCAAGACTTACTCTATATTTTGATATTTGCGCCGATAGAGGAGACAAGGAGGCTTGGAGACCAATTTAGACTATTGAGATGCACCCCTGGTCGGGTGGATTTTCCTCTGCACATCCTGGTGCTTCCTAAAAGGGCCACTAGGGCCAACCTAGGGATATACAGATTGACAAACACTCTGCCGCCAAGTGTCAAGCACCATTTGTGAGGTTAAGCTACTGTTAATGGCTGATGTATATTGTATAATGTATGTCTGCATGAATATCTGTGTGTGTGTGCTGACAACTGTGACACATTTGTAATCATAAATATCGAATAACAGTATTTATAAGAGGAAACAAGAAAACATCCCAGTCAAATCCTCAATGAAAGAACGAGGAACACACCAAACCATACATCCAATGTACCTGTAACTTTCATTATGTACACGTCACATCCACTCCACGCCGAGTTCACTTTTTCAAAGTGTTTAAGGGACGTCATGGTAGAAATTCTTCTTACACAACCATGTAGAAAATTACACTGAAGTGAGGCAATTGCAATAATCTCTTTGTATAGGATATTTAACGGTAGGCCACAACACAACATCAGAGTGCTTCCTTCATGAAGAAATAACAAGGTTTTGTATATTGCCTAAAAACATTCCCTCTCTTCCTTGTTTATTTTGACAAAAAATCAAGCAAATGATCATCCATCAAAGAGACTTGTCATAACCATAACAAAAATGAACATGGGCAGTTTTGGCCTTGCCCTCTCATCTCATAACACCTTATACAATATCTGAGATTTTGAATCCTTATAAGTGCAAAAAAATATCAAAATACCAATTTCCCCCCAATCCTCGTACAAGAAAACGACACAAAACAAAAGAGTGGAATATGCACAAGATTAAAAGGAGATGTTAGTATGGGTTTCCTAAAAGCAATGTGTTTGAGTAACTATGTGGTGGCGCCACAGCCTCTTTCAAAGTTGCTACGTTGTCTAGCCTACCAGGTTCTAAAGCAAAGGTAGGCATGTCATGAAACGTGTACAAAGCTTCAAGCCAATAAAACTGAGTATAAGTCCTAGCTTTGGGAGTTTAGTGTGGTTGAATAAAATCAACCATTATTTAGGATATACCAGTATGAAATCTTTCCATCACCCCAATGCCATGGTTTTGTAATAATAATAATAATAATAATAATAATAATAATACAAACTTTCTGCACTCTATCTAGGTGGCAGATCCTATGGAATCTGAGTGAAATGTGATATATCTAGAGGCTGATGCAGAAGGTGAGCTTATAAAACTATTTGTGCTTCCTTTACTGTCTCCCGTAGTCAGGTGCTTGTGTTCCCCCCAGTCGGGCCCAGCTCCGTGGGCTCCTGTCCTGCTGGGCCTGTGAGACGAGTGCTCCCCAGTCCGCAGGCTTTGCCCTGTGGGGACTAGTTCGCCTTGGCGCCACCCCTCCCGCCGGTGCTCACGGAGGGAACCTGAACGGCACACCCCGGAGCTTTCCCCACCGCACGCCCTGTCTGCCCTGTGTGAGCCATCTGGCGACCCTCCCCGACTACAGCTCCTACCGTGCTCCGAGAGGCGCCGCAGGGCATGGGGCTCACGCTCAAAATCGGTGAGTGGGAAATGCGGGTACAAGATGATGTGCTGCTCGTAGACGTCTGGGATGAGGGAAATGGTGGAGGTGCGGCGTGGGCTCTTCATGGGGCTGGGAAGCGGGGTCTCATCGATAAAGTTGATGACCTCGTCGCGGCTGAAGCAGCGCAAATCTGCCTCCTCGTAGCGCTCGCCGCCACTCCCCCGCGGCAGCTGCTTGAGCATGTGCCCACTATCCTCGGAGCGCCGGCGCTTGCGGTGCGGGTGGCTCTCCTCGCGGTAGGAGACCGGGCTGCTCCTGCGTCTCTCGTTGCGTGGCAAGCTGGAGTTGTAGTGGACCATTCCCATCACGTCCTCCGTGGAGCCCCAGTGGTGCAGGTAGGAGGGGATCTGGCCGCTGGTCCACATGTCGGTTTCGTCGTGGGAGAATCTTCTTGTAGGGGGTACCTGGCGCAACACAACACACAGACCAACAACATCAGCTTGTATGGAGAAGGTTAGGCCTGTATAATATGCATATGATAATGGCTATACAGTCATACATTCTCAATGAAAAACAACAGCAATACATTTTGTTTCTCTTACTGCTAAAACTACAAATGCAAAGTTCTTTAAATTATTTGGTGTTAAACATTAGGCTATTTTCTAATCAAATGTTGTCTTCTCTAACAGGAGTCATTAATGCAACTCAATTAACACGTATTTGTTTTTGAAACTATTATGACAGTATTAAAGCCATAATACAGCACTATTATAACAACTAACTTGTCGGACTAAATGGCATTCTTTCCAAATTGATACTCACATTCCACATTGTTCTGAGAACTAAGTAGGAGAGACATAACGTCAGCTTTTAGTATGGGTTTGTCAATGAGAAGATACACAGCACAAAACTAATATCAGAGTGCCACTATGTGGTGTCTTTTTGTAAATGCAGAAATGAGACAGCAGACTATACAGTAGCGTTGAGTGAGAAGTTTGACCAGCAGGGGGAAGCAAAGCACGAGTAGTAGTTGAAAATGAGGACTGACAGGGGGAGGATGGGGAATGTAACCCCAACGAGATGCAACATAGCAAATGAAAAGTCTGATTCTGTAAATATAAGCCATTTGAGAATTGCACCAACAATTCTTAAATGGAGCCACGTGTTTATGTTTTTTTTGTTGTAGTTGATTTCTTGAATTGTATTGACAAATTGTAGCACCCCAAATAGTAGGCAAAAATGTGTACTTAATATATATGTTTCAATGCCATGACTTGCATGTATTTAGTTGTAATACAAACACATTTGTTTTATTGATAATTATTTATTGATAATTATTTTCCATTATACAGTATGGACTGCTAAAACACAAACTGTATCTTAACCAATTCCACACTGAGTGTACAAAACATTAGGAACACCTACTCTTTCCATGACATAGACTGACCAAGTGAATCCAGGTGAAAGCTACGATCCCTTATTGATGTCACTTGTTAAATCCACTTCAAACAGTGTAGATGAAGGGGAGGAGACAGGTTAAAGAAGGATTTTTAAGCCTTGAGACATGGATTGTGTATGTGTGCCATTCAGAGGGTAAATGGGCAAGACAAAAGATCTAAGTGCCTTTGAATGGGGTTTGGTAGTAGGTGCCAGGTGCACCGGTTTGAGTGTATCAAGAACTGCAACGCTGCTTGGTTTTTCATGCTCAACAGTTACCCGTGTGTTTCAAGAATGGTCCACCACCCAATGGACATCCAGCCAACTTGACACAACTGTGGGAAGCATCGGAGTCAACATGGGCCAGCATCCCTGTGGAACGCTTTCAACACCTTTTAGAGCCACTGACCTGACGAATTGAGGCTATTCTGAGGGCAAAAGGGGGTGTAATTCAATATTAGGAAGTTGTTCCTAATGTTTTGTACACTCAGTGTATAAGATGCACTATTTAGACAAAACTGAATCAATGGTTTAATGAGTCAATGTGGTGAAATGATAGCTACTGTATACATCTCTGTTCAATAACTGTCCAAAAATAGAATAGACTCGATCCTACTAGAGAATAGAATGAGCGTAACTATCAACTATCAGGAGATCAAATTTCAGTCTATATCATATCATATCATATCATAGGCCTATAGATTTCATGGCTAGGCCTACTGATTTGATGTCCAAGTTGCCTGATAAGAATATTCTTATCATAAACCATTTATAAAATAACAAATATTTGATGGCTAAATCTAAGGGCTACACCTCCTGTGTGCTACTTTCTTGTTAGCATTACACTGTGCTGTGTTACATGTGGTCTTGCTAGCAGCTATTTGCGCTACATGGAGTAGTCGAAAGCCCAATTGGGTAATTGTTTTGCAAAAGAATGGAACAAAGATGACACAGTGGTAGATGTCTTGCGGGGGTGACCGTAAGTCTGGGTTGTGTCAGGTAAAAGGGGCATGGCCATTCTTAGTTTAGGTCTCCAAATTCAGCCTTCAAAAGCCTTCATTTTCTCTCCAATACTGTAATTATGCTCTTTTAGTTAATTTTTGTTTGGGCCACACGACTGCACGCACACACACTCGCGCACACATTGTGCGCATACTCAAGCACGCACACACACACACACACACACACACACACACACACACACACACACACACACACACACACACACACACACACACACACACACACACACACACACACACACACACACACACACACACAGTTGTGGTTTGGTTGTTTGTGAGCTCTTGAAGACTGCATGTTGGGAGAGCAGCATTGGGGTTCATAATAATATGTCAAAGAGGAGCATTTCACAGCTCTACAACTGACTTGCTTTGAGTCTGGAGTCAATAGGACTCAATTGGAGTCAAAAGGACCAAATAGCATTAGCATGAGCAAGCATTTGCATTGTTTTAGCATAATGGTTCAGTCAAGGATATTGGAAGTCAGCATCAGCCCTACCACCTCATACTATTCTAGTATTTCTATGTTTAACTTGTGATACTACGATTAAGAGGTGGCAGGTCTGTGAAAGACCCACCTATACACATTAGAGAGACTTATCTACAATGAAGGTGAAAACTACTGATGGTCATATTTGCCAAACATTAGTCAGCCAGGTATATGCTTTTTGACCTTTCAATGCCATGTCTAGATAGGAAATATCAGTTTGCAAAATGTAAAATGATTCCAGCAAGATCAAACAATAAGATAGATATTATAGTAGGCTGAAGGGCCTCTTTCACCATGCACATTGTTATCTGTATTTGAAGTGAAAAATAAATCAATTGATGAAATAATAAAAATCAAGGGAAATATACCTGCAAATACTGCATTTTATCTTCCTGTAGTTGCAATGGATACCCTTGTGGGACCCCCATTTCTAAGGTTGAGAATTCGTACTTGGCAATACGGTCTACCGTCATGATATCAGCCGCGGAGCTATAGTCATATGGTCTGTCATATATTAAGTCCGCATGAATTCCTCCATCTTGGCTGTTTTCTGCAAAATGCAGAAAAGCATACGCGTCAGGATTAAAGACCAACGTACTCAAAATACACAGACAGACAGACAGACAAGACGAATAGATAATAGAGACAATTCATCTTTCTCTTTTATTCTCTTTTTTTTTGGGTGTCCGCTGGGAAACTTGGAGTTCCTAATCAAAAAGGAGTCACTGTAGCCCTCGAGGCCTCGAGACATTCTTTCACTTTGAGCCTTAAAGATTTCTTTAAAGTTAATAGATTATCTTTTTAATAAAAAAAATATTCTAGTATGAACCATTGAGTGTTACATATCCTTTTTTCAGAATACTTCAGACTATCACAATGTATTATATGTGCATTATTGCCACAAAATTGCACAACTCTTCTAGTTAACTTGTGGCTTTTGTTTTGTCTTTGTGGCAATCACAGATCTATACTTTTGTGAAAATAATTTACGATATTGTTGTGAACTTGTAATAGTCTGAAGTGTTCTGAATAACAGGGAACATAACACTCAGTGGGTCATTATGGTGTAGATTGTGACTAAATTATCTCTGCAACAAGATGGCAAAAATGCCCTATAGCTCAGAGGGTTGAACAGTGAATTTGAAAATAATCACTGACTGAAAATCATGACTGTGGGCGTTTACCGAATAGAAAAACACAAAACAACTCCTTCCAAATTCAGAGACCCTGTCCAGAAATAATGATATTAATCCTTAAAACAATGGGGCTTATCGTGAGAACCATAATACAACAAATCAAAGGAATACTTTCAAGTAATCATTTTACATACTGTATAACTTGTCAGGCAAATTTAGGATCAAAAGAAGAATTGCATTAGATTCAATGCGAGGTCAATTGGAGATCGGTGTAAAATGCTGATCTTAGGGCAAATGTTGGCCGGTAGGATGGAGGATGAGATTGGCTATTTGCACAGGCAGCATAGCATGCAAGTCAGTAGCTTTGGAGACAAGAAACAACCCTTATACATACAACTGTATTGTGATATACAAGGCAAGCCCTCTGGAAAAAGAGAGGAGCGCTGGCAACATTAAAATCACACAAAAAATACATTGTCCTACGTTTTAGTTTTTTGGCCTTATGCTAAACAATCAACATGGATGGACGTATAGAAAGGGAGGTTATCAAAAGGTATGGGGGTTAGAAAGAGGGGAGAGGGGTGATATCAAGTTGAGTTTAAACAATTTCATTGCAAGAAAAGGCAAGTTATTTCACAGGGTTCATTTCAATTAGCATGTTTTTAACATTGAGGATTTTTCATGTTTCTTATTATTATTCTGATCTCATATCAATATAGAATAGTTCACATCTACCCAATACACAATGAACAAACTATAGGGGCTATTACATTTATCATGTGACCTAACTTTAAAGTTAATATGGGGGACAAAACTTGGGTAAGTGTCTGTGTATTTCTGAATTGTAAATATATTATTATTATATTATTATATGTACCCTTTGGATCATTAAGACATTTTGGTCTGTCAAAAGTACCTAATTTGCATAATTTGAGGGAATAGTGTGAATGAGGTTGCTTGTGGTGTCACTGCTTATTGTCACTACATAGGCCTACAGACAACATGGACAGGAATAGTTTACTGCATTTCCAAAAGACTATTTAGTCATCCGGCTGTATCTGTTTACACTCATACGCTGACATTGGTCCAAAAACCTGATAGGTGTGCGTACAATCATGCCTTGATGTATATCATAGATTTAAGAAAAATGCATACCAGAATCTCATAGGATTGGAAATATGACCATCGTGCTGAAATGTAATGCGCTTTTTAGCTAGTTATATTCCTTCAGTATTGATTTGGTTGTAATCTTCATAAATCCTCTCTATTTATTTCTGCGTCTTGTGTCAGGGTGTTCTAGGCCAAGGAAGATTTCAGTTTGAATGCATTCAAGTAAAGCAAAGTCATATTCTGCGGGGAAAGTATGTGCTTTTCCAGCAATATCTTGTAACAGTCTGATAGCATAGCATAGAATTCACTCTTTTTAAATGAGCCCACTAAGAATGAAACCACAAAATGTGGCTATAAGTCCTACAGACACTTTTGTTTGGTCACTTCCTCTCCACTTGGAGAAAAAGGTCACATGATAGGTCACATGATAAATTAGACCACATCAAATTAGACCAATCACATAAGGACCCCGGATGGCTACATATGACCACATTAAAGGAAAATTATATATACTGAATCAAATCTAGGGTTGTAAGCTGAACAGACGTCACTCCCAAAACAAGATCTCTCCAACCCTGCTCCCGGAGAACCTTCTAGGCCTGCTTATGTCAGTTTAAGTTTATCTACAATCAATCAAGCTCAAATCATGAAATGTACTACTTCGACGGAACGTCACCATAATCCTACATGGCGCCCCCAATGTAAATCAATTGCCCGATTCAGAATTCAAATCCAGTTTTATATCTTCTGAATCCATTCACAGATGACTATCAAATCATCCATTCATAAATCAACCAAGGCCCAAGCTATGATAGTGCACAACCCCAAAGGTGAGGGGCCAGCAGTGGCTCCAGGACCGGGGGTTGCAGACCCCTACCCTTATCCCCGGCTCAATCAAATGCCTGTGGCCATAGGGCACCAAACCACAGGTCCTATGCCAGTTCTCCAGGACCAGGCTTCCAGACCCCTACCCTAACCTCTACCCCCTACCTCTTACACCCCCCACCCTCATGTTATGAAGTCACCATAGCCAGGGGTAGGAGGGGGTAGGTGGTGGACAGAAGGAGCCTGGCCTGCTCCACCTCCCCCTCCTCGCCTGTTTTACCTTCGTCCACGTCGTCGTTGGACATGATGGCCACACACTTCTCCCAGACCATGCGCACGTCTGCGCGGTAGCGGTCGCATGCCCAGAGGAACATGGGCAGCAGGATGGACTGAGCGATGGAGCACCACAGCACGCACAGCACCATCCAGCTGTAAGAGCGGTCGTACTTCAGACTGGCAAAGCTCACAACCTGCATGGGAGGGATAGAGGGAGGAAGGGAAGATGGAGGGCACAAGGCATAGCATGGTCAATATCAAGTACAAAGCGAAACTACTACAAAACCCAAGCAGTTTTTCCAACAGAGCAGTTTATGTTTATATCTCAAGAAACACCAGCAGAGAAGTGTGTCTTTGGTGCCTCTCCCTGAGCAAAAGTGTATAGTTTGGTATAGTATAGTATAGTATAGTAGAGTAGAGTAGAGTAGAGTAGAGTAGAATAGAGTAGAGTAGAGTATAATATAGTATAGTGTGTTCCAGGACCAAAGTGTGTGCTCCTTTTCACTGGTCCTTGACACTTTAATCAAATTGATTAACCAGCCTGAGCAACAGGGCATAAAATTAACTTTTCGGTCCACCAGCCACTGTGGCAGGTAGATTTACTTAGATTTAAAAATCTACCAGCCACTCAGATTTTTTACCAGCCAAAATACTTTTTGACGCTAAAATTACACCAATAAAACACAAAATAAACGGATGAGCATGCTTTGTAATGTAAAAAATAAAAATAACTTGTAAGAAGTAACTAATGTGGTATATTGAATAATTATACTTTTTGTGACCTAAGTCTTTTAACCAAAATATCACAGACAAAAATGTTCACCTGTGGTCCTCTGTAGCTCAGCTGGTAGAGCACGGCGCTTGTAACGCCAGGGTAGTGGGTTCGATCCCCGGGACCACCCATACACAGAAATGTATGCACACATGACTGTAAGTCGCTTTGGATAAAAGCGTCTGCTAAATGGCATATTATTATTATTATTATTCACCTGCCCCTTTAAGGGTGGGAGGTTACCGTGGTAGCATGACTCCAGTGATGTTTGTGCCTGTGAAATTGAGTCTGATTAGTAGAAGTGTCTTCTCTTCCCTAGCAGTTGAAACTCAAACATAGAAAAACAACCTAGCTTGTGAACAAAACAATGTAAATAGCCAAGAAACACAAGGACAAAGTCTCACTTCGTTTCAAGTAAATTAGAACCATTTTTATGCTTGTGCGCAGCGCTTCTAAAAATGAATCTTTCACTCAGCTCTTCATGTGCACAGAGGCCCCTGCCAGGCAGTGTTGCAGCGTGAGGTGGAATAGGCTATATAGGATTCATAGTTCTTTGACTTTGTGCGATGAATTTACCAGCTATGAAACAAAATGGTGGAAATACTTTGAAAACCGCTGCAGCATTTATTTTACTATAAATGTGATCATGCTTGACAATTTGTATTCACAAAATTGACATCTTACCCGCCAATGCCAAAATCTACCCGCATTTGGCAGGTGGCGTGTGTTAATTATAGGCCCTGCTGAGCAACCTCCCTGGTGTCATGAGTCAACTTCAGGAGCACAATGGAGGGTCCATCAATGAGCCACTTGATTAGGTCGATTAGATAACTCTCAACCTAATCTACATCTTCATTAGATGTAAGATACTGCAGGGTTTTTCTGGAGAAAAAGGGTCTTAGGTGGTGGGTGTGGCAAGGGGCGTGGCAATGGGCACAGTTGGCACAACAATATTTTTTGGAAAATGTTGTATTTATTTATTTATTTTGGGGTTTTTTTAAAGCACATTTTCTGCAATTCTCCAAATTTCTCCATGGAGCCGAGACACTATATTTACATGAAAGTACACTACATGGCCAAAAGTATGTGGACACCTGCTTGTCGAACATCTCATTCTAAAATCATGGGCATTAATATGGAGTTGGTCCCCCCTTTTGCTGCTATAACACCCTCCACTCTTCTGGGAAGGCTTTCCACTAGATGTTGGAACATTGCTGCGGGGACTTGCTTCCATTCAGCCACAAGAGCATTAGTGAGGTCGGACACTGATATTGGGAGATTAGGCCTGGTTTGCAGTCGGCATTCCAATTCATCCCAAAGGTGATCGATGGGGTTGAGGTCAGGGCTCTGTGCAGGCCAGTCAAGTTCTTCCACACAGATCTTGACAAACCATTTCTGTATGGACCTCGCTTTGTGCACATTTAGCATTGTCATGCTAAAACAGGAAAGGGCCTTCCCCGAACTGTTACCACAAAGTTGGAAGCACAGATTCGTCTAGAATGTAATTGTATGCTGTAGCGTTAAGATTTCCCTCCACTGGAACTAAGGGGCCTAGCCCGAATCATGAAAAACAGCCCCAGACCCTTATTCCTCCTCAACCAAACTTTACAGTTGGCACTATGAATTTGGCCAGGTAGCGTTCTCCTGGCATCCGTCAAACCCAGATTCGCCCATCGAACTGCCAGATGGTGAAGCGTGATTCATCACTCCAGAGAAGGCATTTCCACTGCTCCAGAGTCCAATGATGGCAAGCTTTACACCACTCCAGCCGATGCTTGGCATTGCGCATGGTGATCTTAGGCTTGTGTGTGACTGCTCGGCCATGGAAACCCATTTCATGAAGCTCCCGACGAACAGTTCTTGTGCTGACATTGCTTCCAGAGGCTGTTTGGAACTCGGTAGTGAGTGTTGCAACCGAGGACAGACGATTTTTACGCCCTTCAGCACTCGGCGGTCCCGTTCTGTGAGCTTGTGTGGCCTATCACTTCGCGGCTGAGCCGTTGTTGCTCCTAGATGTTTCCACTTCACAATAACAGCACTTACAGTTGACCGGGGCAGCTCTAGCAGGTCAGAAATATGACGAACTGACTTGTTGGAAAGATGACATCCTATGACGGTGCCACGTTGAAAGTCACTGAGCTCTTCAGTAAGGCCATTCTACTGCCAATATTTGTCTATGGAGATTGCATGGCTGTGTGCTCGATTTTATACACATGTCAGCAACGGGTGTGGCTGAAATAGCCAAATCCACTAATTTGAAGGGGTGTCCAAATACATATGGCCAAAAGTATATGGACACCACTTCAAATTAGTGTATTCAGCTATTTCAGCCACACCCGTTGCTGACAGGTGTATACAATCGAGCACACAGCCATGCAATCTCCAAACATGTACATTTGAGCAGTTTTAAAGTTAATTTCCTGCAATTCTACACATTTGCCATGGAGCTGAGAGAAAATGTTTTAAAGCTAATTTCCAGGGATTCTACCAGTGGAGGCTTCTCAGAGGAGGAAGGGGAGGAACATCCTCCTCAGTGAATTTCATAAAAATATAAAATAGTGAAACGTTAAAAAAGTTATCCTTTTTAGATAAAACTATACTAAATATATTCACATCACCAAATATTTGATTAAAACACACTATTTTGCAATGCAGGTCTACATTAGCCTCAACAGCACCCTGTAGGTAGCCAGAGAACAGCTAGTTTCTGTCCTCCTCTGGGTACATTGACTTCAATACAAAACCTAGGAGGCTCTTGGTTCTCACACCCTTCCATAGACTTACACAGTAATTATGACAACTTCCGGAGGACGTCCTCCAACCTATCAGAGCTCTTGCAGCATGAACTGACATGTTGTCCACCCAATCAAAGGATCAGAGAATGAATCTAGTACTGAAAGCATAAGCTACAGCTAGCTAGCACTGCAGTGCATAACAAGTTGTGAGTAGACTCAAAGAGAGAGAAAGACAATAGTTTAACAGTTATGAACGAATTAATTTCTTCAAAAATGAAGGAGAAGTAAGAGAGAGAGAGAGAGATATTTCATATTTACACTTTCACTTAGTTAGCTGAATGCAGCTAGCTAGTTTAGCCTACTCAAACACCTGGCTCAAACAGAGAGGGATGCAATGTTACCTAGCTGGCTATGGCTATCCAACACTGGAACTCTTCCAAGTCAAGGTAAGCTTTTGGTTTAATGAAGTTATTGCCACCGGGGCCTGCCGGTGTAACTTCTAAACTGCTTGCTAACTGTACACTGTACTGCATGATTGTAGCAGGTTTACTAACGTGTTAGTTCTAGTAGCTATGTTGACTTGATGTTAGCTAATATGGTGACAACGATGTAGGCTGTGTGTAGCTGTTATGATATGAAGGTTTGGCTTGGAAAGGTTTTTTCGCCTGGTCACTTACAGCACTGACGTCCACAAGCGAATGGAAAAGGTGAGAGGAGGAGAGCACATAGATGCGAGAAGGAATTATCCAACGATCAAAGGGATCATGCTGTTTGTATGTGGCTGCTATGAAAGTGAACTGTGTTTGCGTGTGATCAGAGGTGTATTCATTCTGCCGATTCTGTTGAAAAACTTTTCTTAAATGGAAGCAAACAGAACAAAACAGGGATAATATACTAGAAACTTTCATTTGCAACTGTTGGGACTAATGATTACACCCTAGATCAGCTAGATGCAGGCAAGATTGTGCAAGGCGGTTTCGAATGTGTCAATGTCTGTCACCTTGATTACTCAAATTTCTCTCGACCTGTGCACCTACGTTGTAAACTTTCATTTATAGGCTAGGTTGTAGCAATCTCATGATGGATATAGGGAAAATTCTAGTATCATGTAGTAGCCCAAACCTATCGATGTTACATTGAGCAGGGTGAATGGAATATGAATGACAGTCATCCAATTCGCTGTACTAGAAATAAGGCCATACTCATAAAAAAAAGAATAGTCTTCCCTCATCTTAAACGGCACCGACTGCCACTGGATTCTACATATTCTGCCATGTAGCTGAGAGAACATTTGATGTTTTAAAGATATTTTCCTGCAATACTATGCATTTTGCCATGGCTAATGCTGTGTTCTTTTGCTCAAACTTAATAATGAAATCAATACTGTTCAATTAATTGTTTTTGGGATTTTCAATTCCCCTAACTGTTTAGATTATATTTTGGCAGTTTGGATTTAGGCGTCCCGGAAAAACGCTTAGGGGGCACCACCTAAGGGTTTCTATGGCAGACAAATCCCTGTGCTGTACACCGAAAGCCAACAGACCACCCAATCACGTGGAATCAAGTCACCAAAATCATCAGAGGACAGGCTTATTAGGGCTTACTACTAAATACTCAATCAGGTTCATTAAATTACATTCACGTTTGCCTTTAAATGCACAATCTGTGAGATTTCCCCTTGTTCAAT